ACCCATCACTCTTGTGATTTCTATTACCATATTTAGTCTGTTTTTCTTTCCTGTTTCTGTAATTTTTTTCAGGTCCTCAGCTTCCTAGCTGATCTGTCTTAATCTCTCCATTTTTTAATTCTTGTATCTATTCAACATACAATGTCCCCTTTTCAATGTATTTATCAGGAAGGATAGGGAAAAGAAATGGACTTCATCTTTCCAGAAGCAGAAGTCAGCAATATGATAGCTAATACAGGGTCCATTTACTCATCTATTATTTGTGGATGAAATCACATTTGAAATAACTAATTATCTTTGAGAGAAATGTCTCTTTGTGATAAAGTCAATTTAGTTACTCATTTGCTCCATCCATAGGAGCCTGCAGTGGTGGGTGACTTATATTTTGGGGCCTTGAGTATCTTTTAGCTCTAATGCTCATCATATGTTGAGGAAAGTACAGGATAATGATGGTGATGGTGATTGCCTTTGCATACTTTCCCCTTTAAGCAAAGCCAATACACCCTCTGTGACCCTGCTGCCATGTAGGACCAGGTATTATGGTCATGGGAATTTTTATTGTTGTTAAACAAAAGCAAATAAGGCTCCAGCTGAGGGTTTTCTGCTCTTCCTTTTAGATTCCCCAGCTAATAGAATGTGACTTTCTTACCTGAAGCAAATACAGAATTAGAGCATAAAACATAAACTATAAACTAAAGTGCTAAGTTATTGATAAATCATATGATTATGTTTTTGGTTGGAGATAAAAAATGGAAGAGGAGCTGATTTTTTTACATGGTATCTTTGTATGTCTGTAAATCAGTTGTTTTATTTTCTCATCTATAAAGTGAATATGATACAGCTGACCCACTGGGTGCTTTTGAAATAAAAATATGATAATATGCATGAAAACATCTGGTAGAATTTTCAGCACACAATATATGCTTTACAAGTTTTCATTTCCCCTATTTTCCAGTGCAAAATAAGTAGCAAACTTTAAAAATTGTCTCAGTGCTCTGAAGTTTCAAAGTGGATAAAACAAGTGACATGTTGCATGCACATTTGGGAACAAAACAGTTGCAAAGCTCAGCATGTCTGCTATGATCCCAATATCGGTCTTTATAAAAATAACTGCCCTTTGATAAATAACTTCTACTGTTCAACAAGAAATACAAAGTGTGAGAAACTTAGCTGTTCAACATAACCTTAATTCCATTCCAGCATGGGAATGTGTTATGGATGGATGGGATGTTTCTATAATTCACAGATTCTGAGGATGCTTAGCACATGTTAAGCCCGCCCTTTAAGCCCTTTAAGAAGGGCTGACACTCTACTTAGCTTAGGTGCCATGTTGTGCCAGAGGCAGGGGAAAGCAGAGGGTGAAGTGGAGAACAGTTTGTGACCGGTAGTGGGGAAGAGCCTGGAGGATACACCCGTTTCCCTTCTTTGTATACAAAGCTTTAATGACAGTAGCCCAGAAGGGACTATAAAATGATGCTCCCAGTTTGAGTAGGCATCAGTACATGTATGATCTCTACCAAAAAAAAAAAAAAAAAAAAAGAAAGGGCTTTTACTAGTTTTAATTTAATGAAAACAAAATTGAATATAGTATCATATTTGTATAGCAATTTACAGTAATAAAGTACTTTAGTATCAATTATCCCAGACTTATGTGACTATTATCCCTCCTCCGTCCTGACCCCTGTCTTTAGACAAAGGACAACCTTTTTATCCCAGAGAGGCCAAGTGACTGGGAGGTTACCACAGGCCAGTTGATGGTGGAGTCAGCCAACCTTCTTTCTTTCTCCATGACTCTGTAGTGGCCTTCTCTACCAACCACCAATGCTGCCTTTAGTAAAGGCAAACAGACTAGCACTGTCTGATAGTGTCTGGGTCAGTGATTTTATATTTTCCCTCATTACTATTCAGAATTTAATTAAATTGTGTGCAAAGAGGCACATCCTTAAAACTCAGCTGGGATTGCAGATTTGCCAAGGCTGCAACATCCAGATGAAGTTCTCTGCCATTGTCAAAATTCCATTACTTTATCTGCAGTGGCTGAAAAAAATGCACCTTATTTGCATATCAATACTACCTCTTTGTCACAGGTAAAATCAAGTAACTGAAATGTGTCAGGTGTGTTAGCAGGAGTGCAACTATTAAACAAATAAACTCTGACACTGAGAGGAGGGAGGAGCAGCTGCTCTGGCTAATGAGAACTCCTGATCCCAGGGCGACACACCAGACACGTGCTCCCCTGCATGTGTTCCCACATTCATTACTTTCCCAGACCTGGGATGAGAAGGAGTATGAAAGAAAGACAATGAAATATCAGCTAAAGAGTGTGTCAGCAATGCTGACTACCAGGAGAGGGGAAAAACATAATACAGCAGTTCCTCAGAAGTTTCTACTGATAATACTCCCAATATACAACACTGAGTTTAAGATGATGGGTTAGCTGGTAGCATCTCTTTCACTTTCTTCTAGTTTTTTTCTTTTAAATGGTCATTAAAAAATGAAATATAATAGAAAAAGATAAGCAGTTTCAGTAGTGCTGTACCTAGGATGGTTGGTTGCTAGTTAGATCAACTCCAAGCAGATTTCCCACTTATTACATTTTACGTAGGCTTGGGGGAAGAATAGTAGACCTAGTAGATTCAACAGGAAGATGCCGAGAGATAAACTCCCACTGGCCCTGAGCACCCATCCTTCAGACCCCCTGGCCTTGCTGACCAGGAGTAGGAAGGTCACCATGCCACATGGGGGCTGCTTCCTCAGGTAGCCAGACAAGCCCTGACCTTGCTGACCAGGAGTAGGAAAGGTCACTGTGCCACATGGGAGCTGCTTCCTCAGGCAGCCAAACCTGCTCACTCTCAAATTCCTCTGCATCATTTGTACATTTATTTAAAACTAACAGCATCCCATCAGTATCATCAAAAAAGATATAATGAAAATAGGTAATAGTACAGATTCTAGATTCAGACCCTGTTGACCGCTTGCTGGCTGTGTAAGTGTAAGTAAGCTGCTCACCATCCATACAAGGGAGTTGTAATAGGCCTTATTTTATAAAGGCACTTTTGCAATTAAATGAAAAAATCCACGTAAAGTAATGCTGTGCCTGACCCCAAGTTCCAAAATGCTTGATAAATAGTAGTAGTTGAATTGAGTAAGAATGAAAGTGGGTAGGTGGGCTCCATTACAGCCTGAAAAGTGAAACTGGAGGGAGGAATGGGTAGAGGGAAGAAGCTAGGGGAGCAGTTTCCACCGAGGGCTAAAGAAGTCCATGTACCATCCCTGGCAGGGACCCATGTAAATATTGCTGTATCATCCAACAGTAATACATATAGGAACCCATGTAGGGTGAGGGTGGATGCCATGATGCACAGCAGGACACCCAACCTTGAACAAGAGCTGTGCCTACCTCCTGGCCATCTGGTGGAAGAAAAGTGTGAAAAATTTAAGTATCAATCAGATATGCAGTTTTGATCACCAGTAATTTTACATCTTGCCCACTGGGTTGCATTCCTAACTCTTTTAAGTAAAAATATGGAACAATGAAAAGCAAGACAATGACTTAAGGGTCTAGGTCAAAAAAGAGGGTGTTGCGCTTAAGGCACATTAGGGGGAAAATGTGTTTTTTGCAGAAAGATATATTACAAAGAGTCTTTGGAGAAAATCTGAGTCCTAAAGAATGTATAAGCCTAAAAATCATAAGGGCAAAGTGGTTAAGTCATCAATTCAAAGACGCGCCTAATGAATAAAGTTCTGTGCACTTCCCAAGATAAACTTGTCATAGCCAACTGTATTGTCACCCTTACTCATTTCTCCTCTTGAACATATTATAATAATGTCAAGCTTTTTCAAACATTTGATTTACATTAGATACTGTACTAAAGACTTTTGAAGTCAGAACATTATTATGAAAAATAATCGTCAATAAAAATATATGCAGTATACACCAATAAATAATAGTAAACTATCTAGACCTTCAGACTTTCTATCAGAGCTCTAAAGTAAGTGACAGAACCCAGGGCGGAGGTGGGGAAGTGTGCTAATCTTTTCAGCTTGGGAATTGTTGGAGTACTCTTTTCTTCTAGATAGTGATTATTAATGAAATAGTGGCTCAGGAATGTCCCTCAATTGTATTTATTAAACTGGAAAAATAATAAACATCAATAAAACATCACTAGGCATTCCTGTGTTCTTGGTTTAGATCTGACATTCGTCAAAACAAAAAGGGTGAATTTCCTACTGTATATTCATCTTCTTGAACACCTGACAGACTCCTTGTTATCGAAGGCAGACCAAGCACTATGTGAGGCTGTCCCTCAATTGCTCCATGGCACTGCCAGAGAGCACAGAGTGTGCCATGCCCTGCGTGCACACACCTTGGCCACTTGCTGCTCTGGACATTTTTTTTTTTTTTAACCATTATCTCCTCCCACCTGCCAGTTCCTGGTAACTATCATCACACTCTGTATTTCTATGAACTTAACTTTTTTAGATCCTACATATAAATGAAACCAGTTCACAAAGTACTCTGTATTTTGAATCGTTCTTTTAAAATGCCCATTTCTCCTACGAGACTGTATGTACTTTGAATTCAAGGACTGTATCTTAACCGGATACAGTTATCCTGTTCAATCAGTGAATAATACCATACCTCCTTCTGTGGGAATTCAGTCTGTTTAGTCTCTTGTGTTTAGTACACGAGCTATTAAATACACTAGTTCTGAAAAGTGACAGGCATGCTGAATTGCTCACCTGTGTTACACCATACACTTTCTGCACTCAGTGGGACACCTGCACTGAAGAATGCCAGGTGATCATCTAGCTAAATGTGAAAAAAAAATTAGGGTCTGTCCACTTACAGATAATCCTTCTGCTTTGTCATATTGCAAATCTGTGATTTTCTTAACATCCAGTATATTTATGATCTTACAGTTTGCTACTCCAGTAATAGCTGTGTTAAATAATTTCTTCCTCTTTACCATTTTTCTGTTTTTTCTGTTTCAAAAAAGGAGCTGGTGGCTGGACCCCACTTGTGTCAAATAAATATCAGTGGCTGCAAATTGACCTTGGAGAGAGAATGGAGGTCACTGCTGTGGCCACCCAAGGGGGATATGGGAGCTCTGACTGGGTGACCAGCTATCTCCTGATGTTCAGTGACAGCGGGAGGAACTGGAAGCAGTATCGACAAGAAGAAAGCATCTGGGTATGTCTTCTGATTGTGACAATTGCCGGTGCCCTGCCGCAAACCTAGTAAAGAAACAAAATCTTAAGAAGAATTACTTTGAAAGGATTTTTTTAAGTTAGAGCAAGATACCTATTTTATTGAAAAACAATCTCGTTGTTATGCTCCTAAGTCATGCGGAAGTTTAAGAATAATATGAGTCAAATAGATAGTAATTTATTTTCTCTTGATTTGCTTCATAAAATAATTTAGCATTGCCTCTGCCTTATTTTACATTGGCAGATTCTTTTTTTTTTCTCTAATCTAATCTGATATTTCTGAAAGACACTGACATTTTAAAATTTAATAAATGATAAGTGCAGGAACATAGGCGTTGAGTTTGGAGAATAATGTGTTCTTTTTTATGGAGCCACAGTTAGTAATTCATAGGTTATAGATCTCTGTGAGATGCTCTGGGATCTTTAAATTGTCTTATAGTAGTGACATCATTTCTATTTATGGTGATATGTCAATGCATCTGTGAGGGTGGGGGATCACTTTTTGTTTTAACTTGTGAATATTGTAAATGTACTTACCTTTTGAAAAACAATAGTTACTATATATGCTTGGAAGTATCCTATATCTGTTTCAAAGCATGTTCTGTATTGACTAATAATGTTTTGTGGAGAGCTTCCCTATAAAAGGCATGCTAAAAGGGGGGAGTCTTATGAACTCTACGTAGTATTTGTAATTTCACTCTCTTTCCTCCTCCCAAAGAGCGCATAAATAACAGAGGAGCTGTGAGTGCATATGTCATCCAGTTAAGCAGCTCAGAGGAAAGCCACAGCCAAAGCAATGCCATCTTCCTTTTTTGGCTTACTTTAAAATTTTTTTTCATGAAGTCATTTTTTTGTTTGTTTCAGATTAAATGAGGGTACACAGGATTAGGTTATATTGTTTGCTTTTCTAAGATGAAGTCCAAGTTGTAGGTGAGCCCTTCACCCAGGGGTGCTCTATACCTCTATGTTGTGCCCTTTAACTGAGAGCACACCAATCCCCTTCCTTTCTCCCCTCTCCCTGTTCTCTCCTCCGTCTCCCTCTACTTGAACTTAATTGTGTTTTTTTCTCATGTGAGCATGTAGCTGTTTATCTATTTGTTTCATTGGATACTTACTTTTCCATTGTTGTGATACTTTACTAAGAAGAGTCTTTTTTTTTTTTTTTGGCTTACTTTAAAAGGTTACCTGTCTAGGGAAAATTAGCATAAAGAATAAAGTTCTTATTAACCCAAACAGCAAGAATAACAAGTATGGGCGCCCCCAGTCTGATCACCTGTAGGAGCTCACCGGACTGAGTGCTTTACTCTTGGTCACAGTGTGGGCTCACTCTGAAGGCCACTGTGTCTTCTATCCCTCATCTGAATTATATTTCCCCAAAATATGGGCTGAATTATAGTTCCCCCAAAGGAGCTATTGGAATCCTAACCTTCAGTACTTCAGAATGTGATCTTATTTAGAAATAAGTTCTTTTCAGATGTAATCAAATTACAATGATGTCAGCAGGGTTGGTCCAAATCTGACTTGTGTCCTCATAAAAAAGGGACATTTGGACACAGAGACAGATGAACACAGAGGGGAACTGATGGGAAGATGCACAGGGAGGATGCCCTGTGAAGAGGGAAGACTGGAGTAATACACCCGTAAGCCAAGAACAGCTGAGAATCTGGAAGCTGGGGACAGGCATGGGACAGCTCCCTCCCCAGTGCCATTGGAGGCAGCATGGCCATGTGGGAACCTTGACTTTGGAATTCTGGCCTCCAGAACTTTAGCTGTGGCACTTTGTTTTGGCAACTCTGTGCCACTCTAGTTTGTGGCACTTTGTTTTGGCAACTCTGGAGAACGAGTGCAATCTCTAAAGCATTACTGTGCCTTATAGAACTAGGACATAGGGATCTGTTACTTAGTGCTGAAAGGGTTCAGGGCTGACCCTTTCAGCATTCTAAGGTAGAGTTTATCTTTGCAGATCCTTCATCTGCAACTGTGACTGGCTAATAGTCACCACTTGATAGAATTGTTTCCTACTGTATGACTGACCGGACAGAATTTTGTGTGATGAACAAAATGTTAATTCTGCTGAAGAGATAGGACCCACAAAGCAAAGCAGAGATGATTATTCGGTGTGTTCAACAATAAAACACAGACCAGGGGAGAAATGAGAATAAAGTGGAGCTTACACAGCCCTTGGAGAAAACATTGTGATGTCCATTGTTGGATAATAATTGAGGATGATATTCCAGAAAGCAGAAGTAATGTGAACAAAAGCATGGCTAATGTGTGAGATATGAGATCACTGTTGAGACTGAGAAGGACAAAATATGGATAATTTGATGAAAACTGTAAAATTGTAAAGAGTGAGGGTCACCAGTTTGCATTATAAAATACCTATATTCTTTCCTTGCTTGCCTCCTTCTTTCCTTCTAGTAAATAAACAAATAACTATGGTAGAGTTTAGGAATCTTTTCTTGGAAAACCTGAGTTGAGTCATAATGAGCATATTTTTTGACTAGATATGGCCCTTCTGTCTAGCATTTTCCTACCAAATCACGTTCACTAATTGATTATTTTATATTTATCATTTTCTTAAAAGGAGGGGGTGATATTGGCTTTTCTCCAGTCTTCATTGTTGCTTTCATAATAATTTCATTTCTCATTACAGCTTCTGCCCTTTACCTAGGCATTAATGTTTGATATGAATGTATAAAGTTACAATGAGTTAACTTGAATAAATTTATTTTTGATGCCTAAAATATTAATACTCTTGATTAAGGAAAATTAGATGTTTTTATAAGCTTGCTATCATCTTAGCACAAATTCCAACTATAGCTGCATCCCTGCCTTAGGGTCATAGTATCAACTTTCCTTTACTAGAACAACATTTCCAGATCTCTCCTAGGAATGCTATTTCTTTTACTTTTACCTTAAGAAGGACACATCATTAAAAATTTATTCTTCAATTTTATGTATTTCCTGCATGCTATCCTTAATTCTACTTTTTAAATGACTTTTATACTTTTGGTCTGGTTTTATCCATTATCCATACTAATATTTTCTATTATTAAAGATCTACAGTTGCTTATCTGCAATTCCTATGTCCAAAAGCATAGATATTAAAATGAAAAAACCCAAACAGACCTAATGTCATCTTGCAGCAAAATCTGAATATACTGACTTTGGGGCTATTATGTTCTTTACTTATGCCATATGTGAATATCCACAAGTTTCATTGCAGAAATAGTAATGTATGTGATTACTACCTAGTCACTGAGATTTGTATGTACAGTATGATCTTTCTAAAATTGGGAAAAAAAATCTGAATCCAAAACAAATCTGGTACCAAGCTTTAGATGAGGGATTGCGTACCTGTCAAATCAATCTTAACATTTGATTATATGCATAGATGAATGTCTTAATTCACATTCTTACTAACTGTATGCTTCACATTGACTGCTTTTCAAGGGCTGGACTAGTTTGTGTTGGGAAATACTCACAAAAACAAGAAATAATTGCCAGACTTATAAAGTCTTAGAGTAAGAAAAGCCTTGTTCAAATGAGAGAAACCTTGTTACTTAAATAGGAATATATGAATCCTTTCCTCATAAAATATATGAGAAATTATACATAGGAATATAATTCATATGTTCCTGTTTAAGTAACAGCAATATATGAATCTTTTCCTCATACATTTTATGTATTATATTTTCATTTAAAAGATCTATTTAAGGACATATACTCACTTGATGTGAATCGTAAATGCCATCATCTCCTACATCATTTTAAAAGGTACCATTTTTCAAACAAGGTCAAAACAATAAACAGCGTAACAGAAGAGGTCAGATAAAAGATAATTTTCTGAGAAAACCATGTGGACCCTTGTCATGGCTTCACACTTGGTCCCACAGTGTCCACCTTTGCAATTGGCTTCCAAGTATAAAATTTGTGGATTTTATTTTCTTAATTCTTGCTGTAAGTGACCACATACGTTACACACCGTAGGAATATAATTGTTTTCAATGAAGGACTTATTCAGATACAATGAGTAACATTGATTGCATTCTCTGCTTATCTCTGGCTTCACACTATTTTGTGTTAACGCTGTCCGGCTGCTGCTCTTGTACATATCAAGAGAGGTCTGTCTTTGTACTGGGTGTTTAGTTCCTTTGAGATGTTTCCCTTGATAATTTAGATAGCACACAGAACCTCCTTGACTCATTGCTCAGATAAATTCTGTCTTCTACATGGAATTGATGCAGATAACCCCCTCAATGCCTGCACATGTATACACACACACACACACACACACCCCTCCCACATCCCTTGCACACTCCTCTACCCTCAGCCCTGTCTCTTTTTAGGTTTTATATTTCCTCATGAGACTCACTATTCCCTATTATCATTTATAGAATTTTGTTCGTTGTGTGTCTACACCCACTACAATGATTTTATGTAAAGAACAAAAGTGTTCCCTGAATAATGTTGTAGGAATTCATCTGTTTACCTTTTTAAAACTTTCTGTCAAAGAGAATACATTTTTCTATAATTCCATACTTATTTCATAAGTCTTTATCTTTTTACAAGTATTAATTACACAAGAATTGACTTTAATCTATATTGAAATTCAGCTTAAATAATTCTGAATGTCAGTTATTCTGATCATCACTCTTCTTGTGGATATACATAAAGTCCATAAATAATATGCCATCCAGTGGTAAGAATTACTATATAGCAACATTTCATTGTTTAAGTTATATTAAGCTTCTCAAAAGTGTTATAGCATGAGAATACAGTTTTCTTTTTCTCTGTATTTCAAATATATTAGCCTATTCAGAAAATATCTTTCTGCTCTAAGTTTAGAATTTGAGATTCAAAATGTACAACCATCCAAGCTGGGAGAGCTAAAAAAAAATCTATTTTTCTTTTCAGATTAGTATGGGGGTATATATGATTAGGTTACATGGTTTTCCTTTGTAAGGTTAAAGTCTGAAT